TTTGAATTTGAATTATGGTGTTGGCAAAGAATATTGAAGACAATGATACTCAAAGAATAAAACGCAACAACAGTAAATATTATTCCATATCCAGTTCTACAATAACAGTAGTAACAAACGGAAAACAATTTATGAGCTGATACATAGGTAGATATGCAAGCTGAACAGGTGAGGGACGGCGTATAGGAGGATGACCATAAGCATCTATAGGTGTGACAAAGGAGATTTTACATGTGTATTTTCTTTGTACTGCTACAGATCCCGGTATACGAGGGGATTACCCACTCCCCAAAAAATAACCAGAATTTTTTTCAGAGCTATGTATTTACAGTGTTTTTTTTTTTACAAAACAACCATATCGCCTTCAAAGTACTCTCCATTACACTCAATAAATTTGTCAAATCTGCAATTCCATTCTTGGAAACATTTTCCAAACTCATCTGGCTGGCTGACAGCACCTTCCTCGTTTTTTTCCTTTTACTTCCACATCATCAAATCGCTGTCCATTCATGTCCCTCTTCATTTGTGGAAACAGAAAGAAGTCACATGAAGCAAGGTCAGGTGAGTAAGGTGCATGGGGCAAGAGAAGCATGCTGGGTTTTTGTTTGTTTGTTTGTTTGTTTGTTTGTTTGCCAAAACCTGGCACACTGAGATGACTGCATGAACAGGTGCATTGTTATAGTAGCAAAACCAGTCCATAAGTCATGTCTTTTTTGTCCCAAACAGTTATGCAATCTTTTCAGAACCTCTAAATAGAAAACTTGATTAACAGTCTGACCTGGTGGAATGAAATCCAAATGCACTACGAGGCGACATTTTCACCTGTTTGAGAAGTCAACTGACTTCCAGAACAAGGTTTGTCATCAATCGACTCTTTTGAAACGAGAAAACCACTTGTACACTTGAGTTTTTCCCATAGTGCTGTCTTTGTAAGGTGTGTTCAACATCACAACAGTTTCTGCAGTATTTTTCCCCAACAGAAAACAGAGTATCACAGCCGCACACGGTTCTTTTAAATTGACTTCACAAAAATCAAGGATCGAGCAAAACTGCTTTCAAGAAAAAATTCACTGTGACCAGAGAGAACCTTCCAAAGTGACACTACTGGGTGCACTAACTCAGAGCAAGTGGCTCCATGCTCACCGAGCTTTTCTCCGGTTATTTTGGGGTACCCCTTCATATATTTGAGAGTCAGGAGGCAGTTAGGTAAACTTCTTAGACATAACCAAGAGGGACTGAGTCACTGGGCCTGAGGTTTGGACCATAATCTTAGGGGACATCTTCATTACCAGGCACAACAAAATGCATTAAAACAATGATCCACATTCGACTTTGGTAAATAGCAACCAAGATCTTAGAACTTGCAGGCAGTCATCCATAATACAAGTATTGGTTTCTTCCCATCTGGAGCAAAGAAGAGTGAAGAAAATCAGAGACTCAAGTAAGTAGTTAGTCCAAAGGGCTAACAGACTACACAAACGACAGCCTCCACTTGCCTGAGACGAGAAGGAACACATGGTTTTCCGCTAATACTACTGACCATTCTGCTCTGGATCACAACAGAAAGCCTTGGGCAGAGTGGGAGAAAAATGTAGAAGAAAATTCAAAAAAATAATAATAAAAAGACCAGCCTTACATATTAGTCTGATTAGAGACTAGAGTAAGCCTCTTGAGATTATGGCCCTTAGATACTCTTCAAGCCTGGACTTGACCCCACTCCAGGATATTGCCTTTCAGCCAAACAGCAAACACGCCTATAAAGTGAACAATAAAGCCGACAAGGAACATGATCCTGGAACAGTCAGTCATCCGAGACCAAAAGGACAGCATTTATACAATGACAAAGTTCAGAAGGCAGGAAGGGGCAGGAAAGATGGAAAGAAGAGCCCAGGGAGGATGAGGGAAGACTGCTATTGTACTGAGGTGACTGCAAACAAGAGTTGTACAAATTGTTGACTGGAAACTAATTTGCTCTATAAACTTTCACCTGAACCACAATGAAATGCTAAAAACACAACCGAAAAAACCAGGATGTTTGCTATCCAAGAAAAAACTTTAAAAGGATTAAAGACCTTAATGTCAAAGTTATCAGGCCCCTGGGAACAAAAATAAGATGCTTCATTTTCAGCAGAAATTGTCTACTAAACACAACCATTATTGTAAAGAAAACAAAAATTCTCCCAACTAGACTAATACACAACATCGTGATAAACAGGAAAAGACTGACGTAGTCAAGGGTTTCGTTTCACTTGGATCCACAACCTACTCATGGAACAACAGTCAAGAAACAAACATCCACCCATGGGGGGAGGGGATGCTCTAGGATAGATGTTGTAGTGATTGTACAATTTCCCCCTGATGTGCTTGAACAGTAAACTGTTCAATTCTATGATATGTGGATTGTGTACCAATAAAACTATTGGAAGAAAAAAAACTGGAGGAAACTTAAAATGCATATTGCTAAATAAAAAGTCTTGATAAGCTAAGAAAAAAGTAAAACAAGCATAATATCACACTGGGCAAATCTGTTGCACAAGATTTCTTTAAAATGTTGAATAGCAAAGATGTTAGTTTCAGGAGAAGGTGTGCCTGATCCAAGGGGTGGTATTTTCAATCACTTCATAAGCATGTGAAAGATGGACACTGTAAGATTAAGAAGACGGAAGAAAAATGGATGCATTTGAACTGTGGTGCCAGAGAAGAATATTGAAAGTACCCTGGCTCCACGTCCTGGTGGCGTAGTGGGCTATGCACTGAGCTGTTAGCTGGAAAGTACCCTGGACTTCAAAAGGAAGAAACAAATCTGTCTTGGATGAAGGACAGCCAGAATGCTCCTTCGAAACAAGGGTGGTGAGACTTCATCTTACATACTTTGGACAGGTTACTAGGAGGGACCAGACCCTGGAGGAGGACATCAAGGCTGGCAAGTAGAACGTCAGCACAAAAGAGGAAGACATTCAGCAAGACGGACTGACACCGTAGCTACAACAATTGCCTCATTCTCTTGTACAGAGGGCTGCTCTGAACTGGAGATGACTCAGCAGGACCTAAGAAAAATAGTGCGCAAACAGAAGAAGATAATTTAGATACGGGATCAGCTGCAAGCTAAATTCATAAGCTCATGAAAAAAAAAAAGACCTAGTAAAAGGAGCAAAAACTTATAAATTATCAATTGAGGGGTGGGGATAAAGGGGAAAAAAATAAGGAGCTGATACCAAGGGCTCACGTGGAAAGAAAATGTTTTGAGAACGATGATGGCAACAAATGTACAAATGTACTTGACACAATGGATGGATGGATGATGGATGGATGGATTGTAATTAAGAAGAGAGTTGTACGAGCCCCCAATAAAATGATTTAAAAAAAAACAAAAAAAAGAGCAAAGAGAACCTACAGACTTGGGGCAAAATTTTAGGCTACATAAGCAAATATAGCTTGTGATCATGATGGGGGGGAAGATGGTATGTCACTAAAGTGTTATTTTGTAATTTACTGATTTATAAGTAAAAATGATAGCTTTGTTGTTAAATTTCAGGATCATTTATATGATACTATAAACTATCTATGAACTGTCATTCTTGTCTTAAACCCCTTTATTATCATTACTGGTCTTTTGCTAAATAATTTTCAGGAATACACAAACACACATATATATACATGCAGAAATTGACCCTAAACTGCTAAATATATTCCAAGTATTTTCCTCCATATTTTTTCTAACTTTTCTTCTGATGCTTCTTCAGAAATCACAAATTTACTTTTCATCTTTTAAAAACTGTCTTTCTAACATTTTGTCATATTTAGAGAAGATATTCATATTCAATTTTTATTCCCGTAATTATTAGTTCACTATAAATATTTAAGTAAAATTCATTAGTATAAAGAAGATTTTAGAGTATAAACAAGTTTCTCCAACACCAAGTACTTGTAGAGAATCAAAAGCTGTTGTTTTCAAACACCAACAGAGTACTCATTCAGATAACTGACATTTAAAACTCTCCCCAAGTCCCCAATAGAGAAAAAGTGCTAGGTCACTTTCAACAGGTCTTTCTCAAGGGGAGGTACCTAGCTGCTCCACTGCATTTTCCAAGTAAAACATGAAACATTCAGCTTGAGATTTCCAGCACCTGTGCATCAGACTGTTTAAAAATATCCTGCCCTCAAAGAATGCTTCTCATTAAAGACTCTTTTATGTACCATTTTGTATATGATTAGATAGGAATGGCAATCACTAGAAACCTTAGCAGGGCAGTTTCTACCATGAAAAACAGCTTCTATGTACCATGGTAAAAATAAGATCTTCAATGCTAATTTACAATTCATAAATGTGGGCACTGGTCTATTTAAGGGTTTAAACTTTCCTTAAACCTTTTTTTTTGGGGGGGGGGCATGGTGTTTTATTTTTTGAAGAATGGTTCAAAACATCACACTAAATCAGGTGAAAGGTAAAGGTTTAAAACACACCATTTTATAAGGATGTTATAACATATGTAATGATGGTTACATATGTAATGATGGTTCACTTCACAAAAATCTTGTCTTAGAGCCTATGATACACCTAGTTGGCAGTAGCACACAGGTATTCCAAACTAGCCAGTCATCATTTGTCTCTTGTCTGCATCGACTTCTCATTAGCTGCCTTCTGCTTCTGATGCATGATCTCAGAATCCCTCTGCTTCCTCTGAGCGGGAGCAAAGCTTTCCTTTTCCCCTTGCGAATCTCCTGGGCTTTCTTCCTGCTTTTCTGGCGGGCAAGTTCTCTTTGATTTCCACAGGCCATGCCGACCACAGGGACCGAGCCTGGGAGCACGACTTGGAGAAGCAACAGTTCCCTCACACGCACGCCACCATCACCACCAGCCAATCTGGGAGGCAGCGTGCCAGCCCTCCGCGGGGCGATGCCTCGCTCTTTAAACCTTTTTTACTGAAGAAGGAAAGAAAGACTCCTGGAGGAAACTGTGACCCATTTGTCTGTAAGCAAGTGAACAAAGGGTAACTTACCATGTGTGGTGCACTGATTGTTGCTTGGAAACCTGCAAAACAAGAAGAGAAGGGCTGACACGCTCAGCTGTCGGAACAAGCCAGCTCTCCCCGCCATTCACTGCCTTTCTAACCTCCATGGATGACTGCCCATCATCAGTCTACACTTTAAGCATCTCCAGAAAATCAAACTTAGATTTTGTACCGTAGGGCTGCCTGTAGCACCGCAGTTAAAGTGAGAAAAGATAGCCATGCCTGAGGCATAGAAATAGGTCTGCTCCAGCCCCGCTAGTTTCTTCTCCTGTGCAGTTAGCTACGAAGGGAAAATCAAGTAGAAAGAGTGTTTGATTGGTTGTGCTGTATATTTATAACTATTTATGTATTTCTGTATCTCAGGGAGCACATTCCTACTGTTTGCAAAATTAAATTGTTTCTTACTTCTGGCAACTTTAAAAACAAAACCAAAAAATTAGAGCACTGGTAATCAAATTACTCTAAGAGACACATGACTTCAATGGTGTATGTGTGTGTGTTTGGCTATGGTTCAGTTTAGTCTTTATAATACTCTATTGTGGCTTTTAGCACTTCGTGTCTTTTCTAGTGCACTTTTCACAACACCTATTTACCAGCTTCTGCCTAGAAAGTGATTTTCACTGAGCAGTGGTGGCAGGTGCCTTAGGGGTTCAGAAGTTCCCCGAGATCCTCTCTGCTGACTGTGCTTCAAAGGAAGACAGCATAGCAGCTGGCCAACACAAACCAGAGGCCCTTCTAAGCCTCAAAGGCGCCCACTGCCAAGGCTCAGCAGCTCTGAAAACCTGCCTCAGGAGAAGGAGTTAAATAAGGGACCATCTGAAAACAAACACAAGCCAATAAAAGGAGGGCCAGGGAGGCAGAAAGTCGGCCATACCTTAAAATACTAACAAAAAGAAACGGCTAAGGCAAAAAGCTATCTCTAGTCAACACTAACATCTCTCCAGAAACCCTAGGCTCAGCTAAAACCCAAAAGTTCTCATTAAAAAGACAGCTTAAGACATTTCCCCCCAAAATTCCTTATGTGAAATACTGTTGGGGAGAATATGGACTATATATCATACACTACCAGAGTGTTAGAATGGATGTGCTTGGGTTAAGAACCTTACTAGGCACTGCAAGAAGAAAAGTATGAGGAGCTATGTATCTCTGGCCCTGCCACGTTGTAGCTGTAACAATTCTAGAGTAAATAAAGAAAACCGTGTCATTTTCAGAAATGCAGAGCTTACCTATTGACTGGGGAGAGTCCATGTAAGGGTTACATTTTGCATAGTGGGAGCGGTCTGTCGCCAGCATTACTTCGAATACTTTATCTGTCTTGATGATTCCATTTTCTGAAATGAAATGAGGCAAATACTGTAAGCAGGGGTGACTAATTCTAGATGTGTGGCGGAGTTAAAAAGGTTTGTGGGACAGAGCGAAACACTAAGGGAATGCATCAAAGCAGCGAAGGGAGCAAACAATGAAGTCCCCAAATACCAAAAATAAACTTTGGGGCCAGGATGTGGCACCCCATCAGACTCAACTGGAAAACACTAATAAACGTTAACAAACAGACCTGGAACTATTTATATGTTTTTCTATTTCGTTGTTGGTTTTTTATGGTTGTTGTTGTTTTCTTTTGCTTTTGTGCTTATTACTGTTTTTGCATGTCTATCTAGACAAGATAGGCGTGAAAAACAAGAAACAGAACAGATGGTTCTGAGAGGACACAGGAAAGGGGGAGGCGGGGAAAAGAAAAGGGGGTGCCAACAAATCCAAAGACAAGGGAAGAACAAGTAATCTAAAATTGATGGCAAGAAGGGCATAGGATGCCTGGTGGGGCTTGATCAAGGGCAATATAGATGAGAGGAATAACTGAAAGCCAAATGAAGGTTGAAGATGATAGTGGGACAAGAGAAAAGGAAAAGGAAATAGAGGAAAGAACTAAGAGGCAAAGGACATTTATAGAGGTCTAAATACAGCCATGTACACATGTAAATATATTTATATATAACGATAAGGAAATAGATCTATGTACATATAGTCATATGTTAAGTATCAAGGTAGCAGACGGACATTGGGTCTCTACTCAAGTACTTCCTCAACTGCAAGAACACTTTGTTCTAATAACCCGGCATTCTGTGATGCTGACCTTCCCTGGCATGATCACTGAAGACAAATGGGTGCATAAGCAAATGTAGTGAAGAAAGCTGATGATGCTTGGCTATCAAAAGATAGCCGCAAAGGCTTGAATATAAACAAGTGACCATCTAGCTGAGAAGCAACAAAGTTCAGACAGAAGAAGCACACCAGCTTGTGTGATCATGAGGTGTCAATGGGATAAGGTATCAGGCATCAAAGACCCAGAACAAAAAATCCTATCGATGTGAATGAGAGGGAGGGCAGAGTGGAGACCCAAAGCCCATCTGTGGACAACTGGATATCTCCTCACAGAAGCATCACAAGGAAGAGACGAGCCAGTTAGGGTGCAGTATAGCACCGATGAAACACACAACTTTCCTCTAGCTCAGCGGTTCTCAACCTGTGGGTCGTGACCCCTTTGGGGGGTGTGTGTCAAATGACCATATCACAGGGGTCACCCGATTCTTAACAGTAGCAAAATTACAGTTATGAAGTAGCAACAATGTTTTGGTTGGGGTCACCACAACATGGGGAACTGTACTGCATTAAAGGGTCGCAGCATTAGGAAGGTTGAGAACCACTGCTCTAGTTCTTCAGTGCTTCCTCCCCCCCACTATCATGACCCCAATTCTACCTTACAAATCTGGCTAGACCAAAGGATGTACACTGATACAGGTAAGAGCTGGAAACACAGGGAATTCAGGACAAGATGAAAATACAGCTTGGGGACATGGGTGGAAAAACAATTTAAATGCTCTAGATTATGACAAAGACAGAATGTAACCAAAAACAATGGAAGGAAAAAAGGACATAAAAAGAGAAGGTAGAGTAGAAGATCTTCAACTATGGTATCTACTACCATAGGAGAAACCAAAGGTATCAGTTAAAACTGGCAAACCAGAAGGTAAAAAGTTAAGAAAAAAGTGAAAGAAGAAGGTGGAAGGGCACTGTGAAAGTTATAAATACAAATCTCCCAAATAATAAAAGAAATATTCTTGAAATTAGGAAACACCAAGCACCAAGCAGGCAAAGTCGTAATAGTCAATGGTTAGCAAAGACAAACTTCCAGGACTTTTCTATTTTAAAATTATTATACCTTTTAGGTAAATTAACCCAAGTAGAAAAAACTATTTCTACACAAAGAAGTTCAGGCAATCTTTCTGAAAAGGTTTTGTTTTTTTTTAAATCATTTTATTGGGGGCTCATACAACTCTTATCACAATCCATACATACATCAGTTGTGTAAAGCACATTTGTACATTCGTTGCCCTCCTGAAAAGGTTATTAAAGTAGTGAACGAAAAAAAACTTAAGCAGAATAGAAATATTTACTAAAACATCGTCAAGTTCCAGATAGTGTCCAAAGTACTTTATTATATAACTATTTCTTCTAATTTTATGAAAATGTTTTACATTATCCCTAAGAATCCCATAAAGTAGGCACTATCATTAACTCCATTGGAGACTTGGCAGTATAGTGGTTGCGCACTGGGCTGCTAATTACAAGGTCACCAGTTGATCTACAAGCTGCTCCTTGGAAGACAGGGATTTCTACTCTTGTAAAGAGCTACGTTCTCAGAAACAAACAGGGTCAGCTCTACCCAGTCCTACTGGGTCATTATAAGTCGGCATCAACTCGTTGGCAGTGACTGTGGTTTTTTGTTATCATTAACTACAAGAACATGTGTTAGTGGCACAAATAGTTAAGTATCTGAGTACTAGCTAAAAACAAAAACAAAAAACAAATACCCAGAAGCACTGGGAAGAAAGGGCTGGCATGATCTGCGGCCAGTAAGCCAGTCTTGAAAAGCCTTATGAAGCTCAGTTCTACTGAAAGCACATGGGGTTCACATGAGTGGAAACAACAGCAACTAGTTTGTCTGGTTTTTGGTTTATCATCATCTCCCTTTTATAGATGATGAAATTGGGATTCAGAGAGACTTAGGTTATCCATGATCACAGAGTTAATCACTAAAAGGGCCAAATAGAAGTGTGTCTCACTATATTGCTACTAGCATAGTCCAATAGCTCAGCTCCTACTAGGTCCAGTCCCCAGAATAATTCTGGAGTAGTTCATATGCCCCGAAATTAATTCAAACTCCAGAGGAGTGATTCATGAAATCTAAAGGCCAAAAATGACAGAGTTCCACTGATGGGATTTTTACTAGCTAAAAGAGCTTTTCCCATATCCAGGCACTCTATCAGAAAAATTCCCAGTGCTAAGATGAAACGTCCTTTCTCTGTGACTCACAAGAACCACTAGTGTTCCTTTCTAAACCACAAAGGTATGCTGAATTTTATAGCCTCTCAACCTTTCTGATACATCTGGCCAACCCAAGTCTTATCTTTTTCAGATTAAGCAGCCTTACCTCCAATTAGTCATTGATTTTAGAAACTGCTGTAAAGAATATGGCTTTATTCAAAGAGCAATATGGTCTTTACTCTTGGCTTCTGGGAGGTAACTTATGTAAGGTTCATAGAAGTGACTGTCTTTGTCTGGTGGCTTTGGGCCACACCAGACAGTAACATGATTTAGGGTGGGATCAAGTCAGGTGTGACTTAGAGTGGAAGCTTTGGCCATCTGTCAACCCGGGGCACTGAGTTCAACCACATGGATAATGAATCAATCAATTTTACCTACATAATGAAGCCTAGGTTCCCAAACTTGAACTGATCGTTGGAATCACCTGGGGATCTGGTGCAATTACAGCTACATGGGCTCTATTTGCAACCTAATGAATCAGAATCTGGGTGTGGTGGGGAAGCCCAAGGATCTATAGCTTCATCAGATCCCCAGGTGAGTCTAATGATTCACCAAGTTTGGAAACCTAGGTAATGAAGCCTCAGGAATAACTGTAAACACAGAGACACCGGTGAGTTTGCCTGATTAGCAATGCTCTGTGCATATTGTAATCCTCTGGGAAAAAAATAAAAATACTGCCATCGAGTCCATTCCAATTCATAGGGGCCAACAGAACAGAAAAGAACTGCTTCAGGTCTATCTAGATAAGACAGGCTGGATACAACCTGGAGGAGAAAAGAACGGGATTGACGGTTCCAGGGGTACATGGGAGAGGGGGAAGTGGGGGAAAGGAAGCGGTGTTAACAAACCCAGGGACAAGGGAGCCACAAGTGATCCAAAATCCGTGGCTAGGAGGGTGTAAGAGGCCTGGTAGGGCTTGATCAAGGGTAATGTAACCAAGAGGAAATACTGAAACCCAAATGAAGGCTGAGCATGACAGTGGGACAAGAGGAAAATAAAAGGAAATACAGGAAAGAACTAGCAGGCAAAGGGCATTTATAGTTCATGAAGGAAGGGGGAGCGGGGAGGGAGGGGAAAAAATGAGGAGCTGATGCCAGGGGCTTAAGTGGAGAGCAAATGTTTTGAGAATGATGAGGGCAATGAATTTACAAATGTGCTTTACACAATTGATGTATGTATGGATTGTGAGAAGAGTTGTATGAACCCCTAATAAAATGATTTAAGGGGGGGGGCAATTACAGAGGTCTAAATACAGGTATGTACATATGTAAATGTATTTATATATGATGATGGGGAAATAGATCTATGTGCATATATTTATAGGTTTAGTATTAAGGTAGTATTGGGCCTCCACTCCACTCAAGCAGTCCTACAATGCAAGAACACTTTGTTCTATTAAACTGGCATCCCATGATGCTCACCTTCCCGACATGATGGCTGAAAACAAATGTGTGCATAAGCAAATGTGGTGAAGAAAGTGGATGGTGCCCAGCTCTCAAAAGATATACGTAGCGTCTGGGGTCTTAAAGGCTTGAAGGTAAACAAGCAGCCATGTGGAAGAAGCACACCAGCCTGTGTGAGCATGAAGTGTCAAAGGGATCAGATATCAGGCATCAAAGAAGAAAAAATCCTATCATTGTGAATGAAGGGGGAGTGCGGAGTGGGGACCCAAAGCCCATCTGTAGGCAACTGGACATCCCCTTGCAGAAGCATAGGAGCCAGTCAGGGTGCAGTGTAGCAATGATGAAATAAACAACTTTTCTCTAGTTCTTCAACGCTTCCTCCCGCCCACCGTCTTGATCCCAATTCTACCTTACAAATCCGGCTAGACCAGAGGATGTACACTGGGTACAGATAGGAACTGGAAACACAGGGAATCCAGGGTGCATGATCCCTTCAGGACCAGTGGTGAGAGTGGTGATACTGGGAGGGTGGAGGGAAGGTAGGG